CATGAATATACATATATTCATTTTCACATTCTTTTTCACTGTGAGCTACCACAAGATCTTGTATATATTTCCCTGTGCTATATGGTATAAACTTGTTTATCTATTCTATATGTACCTGTCAGTATCTATAAATTTTGAACTCCCAGTCTGTCCCTTCCCACCCACCTCTCCCCTGGCAACCACAAGTTTGTATTCTATGTCTATGAGTCTGTTTCTGTTTTATATTTAAGTTCATTGGTGTTCTTCCTTCTTCCTTCCTCCTTCCTCCCTCCTCCTCCCTCCTCCTTCCTCCTCCTCCCTCCTCCTTCCTCCTCCTTCCTCCTCCTTCCTCCTCCTTCTTCCTCCTTCTTCCTTCTTCCTTCTTCTTGATTCCACGTATAAGCGATCTCATATGGTATTTTTCTTTCTCTTTCTGGCTTACTTCACTTAGAATGCCATTCTCCAGGGACATCCATGTTGCTGCAAATGGCATTATGTTGTCAGTTTTTTTATGGCTGAATAGTTTTCCATCGTATAAATATACCACAACTTCTTTATCCAGTCATCTGTCGTTGGACATTTAGGCTGTTTCCATGACTTGGCTATTGTAAATAATGCTGCTGTGAACATTGGGGTGCTGGTGTCTTTTTGAATTAGGGTTCCTTCTGGATATATGCCCAGGAGTGGGATTACTAGGTCATATGGTAAGTCAATTCCTAGTCTTTGAGGAATCTCCATACTGTGTTCCACAATGGCAAGAGCAGAAGTTTTAAATTTTGATGAACTCCAATTTACCAGCTTGTTTTATGGATTATGCTTTTAGGAACTCTTTGCCTAACCCGAAGCATGATGGCTTTCTCCTATAGCTTTTATAGTTATGAGATTTACATTTAGGTCTACAATCTATTTTGGGCAAATTCTTGGGTTAGTATGTGGTGCAAGGTATGAATTGAAGTTCAGTTTTTTTACATGTGGAGATCCAGCAGAATTTTTGAATAGACTTGTTTCTTCATGGAATTGCCTTTGTACCTTTATTGAAAATCAACTGTATGTGTGTAGACCTAAATCTGAACGTTTTGTTCTATTGATCTGACTTCTCTATCTTTATCTCAGGACTATACTCTCTTGATCACTGTAGATTTTATAGTAAGTTTTGAAATCAGGGAAAGATCTTGAACTTTGTTTTTCCTTTTCAAAATTGGCCGTAGTTATTCTAGATTCATTGTACTTCCATATGCATTTTAGAACAATTTGGTAATTTCTACCAAAAAGCCTGCTGGGATTTTAATTGGGATTGCACTGAATCTAGAGGTCAATTTGTGGAGAACTGACATTTTAGCAATATTGATCCTGACCCATGAACAGTGGGTATCCCTGTATTTATTTAGATTTTTAAGAATTTCACGTGTTTTGTAGTTTATAGTATACAGATCTTTTATGTCTTTTGTCAGATACATCATTAAGTATTTCATTTTTGAAGTAAGT